TCTTAAATTTTGTTACCAAAAATATGATAGAAAGTGTAACATCATACAAAAATATTTTTATTACAACAATTCAAGGAGGGTACACAAGGAACGGATACGTAAAATTAACAACGCCAGGGGATATCCTTGCACTTTTTGGAATTCTCTTTCTTGCTGGTTTAAAAAAGTTAAGCCACACTGAGTTTAGAGAGATGTAGTCAACTGATGGCACAGGAATATGTTGGATATAACGTTACTGCTGAGATTGTTGCTACACTGTGAAGAGGAAGCCCAGATACATAGAGGATGCGAAATCTGTCGGAATACATAAATATTTGCACGTTCGTGTAGCAATGCCAAAGATATGTTTTTGCATCGTGTCCGTTTAGAATTTAGAAATTTACTGTGTCCAGCAGCCCGAAGGAAGATATAATCTACCAAACATTGCAGCAGAAATTGTACTCAGATTGGTCAAACTCTTCAAAAATTTTAAAAGAAACTTGACCACAGATAATTGGTACACCAGTTATCCTTTGTCTCGAGAGTTTTTTAATCGTAAAATTACTTTGATTGGTACTTTGAAAAAAAAAATAAAAGAGAATTTAGACCCTACACTCAATTCCCCTTACCTGCAATGGAAAAGGAATAAGGCTGTCATATTACTTTCTACGCAGCTTATTTTTGTCTGGCGTACAAATTACGACAAGCGATCACATGTGTAAAAATATTTTAGCGACTACTTAAGGTAAATAAAGTCAAATTTTTTCAATACGTATTATATTTTACATTATTAAATATCGAAATTTGTGTATAAAAATCAGACTTTAATTGCTATTTGAATACTTACCTTGTAGTCCAAACACTACTAACAACTATTAAGTGGACTTACCGGTATCAGTTTATATAGTTTTGATAATCTAGTTTTCTAAGTAATCTGGAAGGCAGAATATCTTGAATATTGATAAAAGCCAATTATGTTTATCGATAATTTTAACTATCGCCAATTTGAAGCATTAAATTATAGTTTAATCAATCATTTTTTATTGTCCAGTGAATATGAAAATTCATGCCTTCGAACATCTATATAAACTTTCAAATGAGTAAGTTTAATTCACGTATACCCATATCACGTTTGAAGATATCCTTAGATTTTTTTTTGTGTTATTATATAATGTCATTATATTTTTATGAATAAAAAGTTGAAAATCGGAAAAAAGGAAAACCTGAATGGTTGTCAACGGAACTAGAAGAGAAAGTTCTCAAGAAAAAACAAGCATATCACATATGGCTTCAATCCAAAGATCCTCAAGACAGAGAAATATACGCCAAATGGAATAGAGAAGTTAAAAAAGAAGTGGATAAGGCGAAATATGTAAACTGGGAGGCTAAATGTGATGAACTGGACAGATTTATGGGTAGAACAAAAGTGGCACAAGCTTGGAAAACATTAAAGCAGTTTAGGAAAAATGAGAAAAATGAAGACAACATTCCTCTCATAAAGTTAAATGAATGGGAAGAATATTATACGAAACTGCTGAAGGAGGATAGAGTAGAGTACAGATGGGACAAGATAAGGGAATTAATAGATAACAGAGACGAAAGACAGGAAATCCCTATAATAACATTATCTGAATTGACGGAAACCTTAAAAGAGGTTAAAAACGGCAAAGCCGCAGGGCCTGGAGACATTCCATAGAGCTGGTTAAATATGGGCCGACTGCACTTTTAGAATTAATAGTAGACCTTTTTAATAAATGTATGTGTGGAGACCAGGAAATTCCTAAAGATTGGAATAAATCTTATATAAGCTCCATATATAAGAGAGGGAATAAAAGAGACTGTTCCAATTATAGAGGTATTAGTGTGACGAGCTCTGTGGGCCAGTTGTACGGCAGAATATTAAAGAAAGGGGTTGAAAAACAGATACAAGATATTGAAGAACAAAGCGGCTTTCGTACCGGGAGATCCTGCCTTGATAATATATTTATCATACGACAAATAATTGAGAAAGCGTGTCGAAAGAAGTAGAGAGACCCATTTGGTATTTATAGACCTTGAAGAAAGCATATGATAGTGTCCCGTTAAAGAAAATGTTTGAGGTCCTCGAAAGGTCCGGATTGGATTCGACGTATATCCGAGCGATATATAAATTGTACGAAAATGCAGTTAGTTGTGTAAAAATTGGAACCAGAACTTCAAATGAATTTAAAGTCACTAAAGGCCTAAAGCAAGGATGCTGTTTGTCACCGACACTCTTTAAAATATACGTCCAAGAAGCATTGAGGAATTGGAGACATAAATGTAGATTTATGGGCATCGAAGTGGGACAAGAAACTCTGTATACATTGTTGTTTGCAGATGATCAGGTGGTGGTTGCAACCGATGAGGAAGATATAAATTATATGAATCGAAAATTATTTGAGGAATATGCCAAATGGGGGCTTACTGTAAACATACGCAAAACAGAATATTTAAAAATTGGAGGAAATACCACAGATCTGAGGCTTGAAAACGCAGTCATAAAAGGTTGCAACCAGTATAAATATCTAGGAAACATCATATCAGCAGATGGCAGAGTTAAGATAGATGTACAAAACCGAATAACCCAAGGAAAAAATGCATCCAAATACTGAATTCATTACTGTGGTCTAATAAAATAAAGATGCATACCAAACTTCGTGTATACAGAGCAATTGTAGAACCGATTACCACATATGGTGCCGAATGTTGGACGATGACAAAGAATGAACGAGATAAAGTAGACGTTGTGGAAATGGATTATCTTAGAAGGTCATGTCGAGTATCGAGAATGGAAAGAATCAGGAATGAGGAAATACGAAACCGTACAGGAATTAGAGATACTCTTTCAGATAGAATACAAGGAAGGCAATTACAATGGTATGGATCACGTGATGAGAATGGAGGAGGAGCGGTGGCCAAAGAAAGCCTTAATGTATGTTCCGCCAGAAAGAAGAAATAGGGGAAGACCACCAAATTCCCGGAGAAGAGAAATTACAAAAACAATGCAATCTAGAGGCTTAGAAGAGGGAGATTGGAGAGATAGGAAAAGATGGAGGCTGAAATGCGGGAAGCGCCAATCGCCGTAGGACCCCCGTTATATGATGATGATGACATTATATTTTTATCAAAATTTCCTACTTTTCAACATTTCTATTACAGTTAAGGACCTATGATCTCTTCTTAAAGATCTGTTCACCTTGCTATCCAAAAATCTTTTATATATAGCATAATATATGTTTAGTCCCGACATCTAGGTATCTATAAAAGCCGTCCGTCTACAGAGATATTTATTACAGATATATTAGGTACTTAGGTCGTTGGCGAATAATGACTCAGCCGTAGTTGTACACAATAGGTTTCGCCGTTTACCTGAACTTTAAGAAAAACGGTATCTGAGTGAGCAGAGTCTACTAAGAAAACCTATGATTACTCAGTCTTCTAAAACTCTGAGCACTGAGCACTATCTTTTCCCAGTAGGCTATAGTTAGTTCCTTTGGTGATTTTCGCACATCCTCCAACTAGCGGACTTTTGTTGCAACACAAAATAAATGTGGTCTGATAAAATGGGTATTAGCTTACTATTTCGTAAGACTAATAATAATATTCTTATCAATAATTCCTTTATGAATGTTACTTACAGTAAAGTTACTTTTTTGCCATTTGTTGTTGTTCTAGTGCAGTTCTAGGGACTGTTTGTAATTTTAAGCTGTTACATGCTCATAAATTGTAGACTTCTGAATATTTTGTACAGCTTGTCCGTCTGGGACAATAAATATAAAATGTAAGGACACCCTTTTTGATTTATGCGATTCTAATTTGTTTTATCTTATACCTGTTTATAACAATATTTAGGTGAAGTATAAGTTTTGCAGACATAATGTATGTGGGCATCTTTACGGATTGCTTTATTCCAATCTTTAATATCCCACAGAGTTTCAAATGGTAAGTCCGTGTTAGTTTAAAGGATTTAGCATGAGCAGCATTACATTGAAGACTTTGGCGTGATTGCATTACGCCCGTGACTCTAACACATGCCAAGTCATTGCTCTTTTTGCAACGCTAATATTGCCATTTGCTGCACTGTTTTCTTTTACCAAATTGTTGCAGCATAAATAATTATGGGTTTGGCAACTGCTATATATGACCAACATATATTTTACCACAAAGTGTATTAAGGAAGATCAAAGTTTCCTATCATTGGAAACTAATATTGATGTTCTATTCATGGTTGGAGGTATATGTAACAAGTGTCGTTTTAGTAGGATTTTCTATAAGTCCTTTTAAAATTAAGTAGTTATTACTAGGCACTTTGTCTATAGTACTGTTCTGAAGCTATTTTCTTGTGGTATTTTAAAGTAATTACTATTTAAATGGGAATAAGCCTTAATTAAAGGTTAAAGTAAGTTAATTGACGTTTCAATTTCCACTTTGGAAATCGTTCTTAAAATACAAACATTAGTTTATTAAATATATTTATTATGTTTGTATTATGAGAACGATTTCCAAAGTGAAAATTGAAACGTCAATAAACTTACTTTATCTTTTAATTGTGGCTTATTCCCATTTAAATAGTAATTACTCTATATTATCTTTATTAATTTCTTTGATTAGTTGTCAGATATGTCTTAATAGTATTGTAATGCAGATAAGCGTCTACTTCTTTTTATTTTCCTAAATATGTATGTAAGTGTATTTTATAGCTCGCAATATTTATTCTTTATTTTCTTTTTATTTTTGGGCAGTTTTTTATTTGGTTAAGATATCGGTTGTCAAGTATTTTTAGTTTTTATTTATTTTTTTCTATTCTTTACCTACTGCAGACTTTCTGAGAGCATAATGTAAATCGTGTTTAATTTAAGTTATACTTAAATTTGATTAAATGATTGATTTGTACGTCTTTCTTTTGTTTTAAATTTTTATTTAATTACAAAATTTGTTAGGTTAGAAAAAAAATTGGTAAATGAAAAACCAAAATAATAAAATAAAGCTATATAAGAATTTTATTCATTAAAGAGAATACCGTAAGTTCCTTGAGCAATAGCAACATCAGCTTGTTGCCAAAACCGATGATAGGTAAATGTGGGAGCTGGTCCACCATTCAAATGAGCTTCTACCTTGGGCCAGTCAGGATCATTTTTGTACCATGACCTCATACCGACAAAAGTTACTCCATGTTGGATAACGTCTCCATTGGGGTATGAACCCATCCATCCTTGTGGAACGGGTACTTCGCTATTGAATTGATTGTAAGTACTCATAACTTCTGGAGCTGACACTCCTTTGCTGGTCTGATAATTATTCCACATTCTGTCTAACAATTCTTTTGCTACGTATTTAGCATTTTGATCGCCAGATTTGGCAGCGTAGTATGAGAGAGTTCTGGCAGTTGCAGCAGCGGTACCTACATCGGCGCTGTATGTAGCAACTTTAGCGTGTACATTTGGTGGTTGTCCTGACCAGTCCAAAGTATCAGGGTGACTGTAAGTATTACCTTCAAATTTGGTTTCAGAAATAATCCACTTAACCCATTTATCTAAAAGAGTTTTGGCTCTAGCGTCCCCAGTAACGTAATAGTATTGAGCAAGACGATCAGTTGACCAGGGTTGCATGCCAAACCATCTGTTGGATGGAGGATCATGATATACAGGTTCCCAATCGTAAAACATACCATGGAAAGTGTTAGCAGTAAGTTCTTGTGGGGGAGTATCATATCGCCCATTCCAGGTATTGGTGGCACCACCACCAAATGCACCTTCAGCTGATTGCAACCATCCATAAAATTCAAGTTGTCTTTCTAAAGAAGTAGCCCAGTCAACGACGGCAGTTTGACCTTTTGGTTTCAAGGCATCAACGTTAGATAAAGCATAGGCAGTTAAGGGATTTTGGTAACCAAAGTGAGCAGCACCATCTCCAATACGCCACGCCCAGTTAGCATAGACAGCTCCTCCCCATGCAAAGTACCAAGACATCAAATAATGAGCACTTTCTTTTCCATTTCCACCAGGACATGTCTGTGGTCCAACGCAGTTACCAATCTTCTTAAAGTATTTGTCGAAAAAAGAATATCTTATGTAGTCTCCAAGTTTGGCAGCCTTTGACAAAGTTTGTGAAATCTATAAGGGAATAATATGAGGATGAGTATATACAGTAAAGTATAAACAAAGATTAAATTTTAATAAAATACATAAACTTACATCATTTAAATGGCCAGATTCACTTGCCCATTGATGAGCCCAGAAAGCACCTTGAATGGCTCTGGCGTCAGCATCAGGAGCGTTGGAGTATTTCCATTGTTGGGAGTAGCTGTTGTCACCAACAAAGAGATCCAAGAAACCATGAGTTCCACCGTATTTGAATAAATCACAAGTTGATTGAGGAACAGTTCTCCATACTGATTCCATAGGTCCTCTTTGGTAGGTGTTAATAAAGGAAGGTTGATTTGTTTTAGGTCCCAATTCACAACCACCCCCTGTAAATAACACATATTCAATATTCAATGTATGATCTGATTAAAGAATAGTAATAACATTGAAATATATTTTTTCTACCTACCAGGTGTATTACCAAATCCGTATGTATTGTCAACATCCAACAACCAATTCATAGCATATATGTCGCTAGTACCATATGCAGATACTAATTCTTGATAAAGGGGATCTTGGCCTACAGGTGTTCCAAATTGCATTGGAGATGGGTATTCGCTAGGGTTATCAAGTTCGGGAGAATAAGTAGCTGGAGCACCTGGGTTATAAAAATTGTTGGTAGCTTGATCAGCATGACTTGGAATCATCCATTTTTCCATACTTTCCCAAGCTTGATTAAATTTGCTATAATCCCCGTTAATTTTGCCATTCAAAGCTTCCATCCTAAACAAATTAAATTAGCTAAATATTGCAAAATGTATTCAGGGAAAATTTAATTTACCATATCCAATAACTGTAGGCTTCAGATGTAGTTTGGTGACCATGATCGGGAGCTTCTACAATAAGAGTTTCAACTGAATGGTAGGGAATTCCTTCTTTAGAAAAATATCCATTCCCAGCGTTATGAATTTTTTGGTATTGTTGATTGAAACGGTCGGTGTATACACCGGCGTTAGCGAAATTGATCCCAATAAGGGATATAAGTATCACAATCTTCATAATTAAACTGAAAAAGAAAAGAAATATTAGGTTGAGAATAAAACTAATTTGTAACCTGTTATCGAGATAAATGTGTTTGTTTATTTTTTTACATTTGCGTTTAAAAAACACTTTAACATTGAAAGATATCCTAATGTTTATCAAAAGAATAAACAGTTGAGACACTTGTGTGAAAAATATTTAAAACTAATCATGTTGAGGTAGTTTGTCTCATATAAGTATTATAAATACTGTTCTTCTTCTTCTTTCTTCCTTTATGTAGGCTTTAAAGCCTGTTTCTTCTTTAATATTAACCTCCTAAATTGTTTAAATTATCGCACCATCTTTTTATTGGTCCGCCAATACTTCTTCGTCCATTTGGTGACTTATCTCATGCTATACATGCTATATTATCCTCCGCCATTCTACTAATGTGTTCGTTCCACTGCTGTTGGCGTTTTTCACCCATTCATTTATGTCGTCTATATTCCATACTCTTCTTATGCTTTCGCTTCTCTTCCTATTTAATAGACTTTTTCCTAATATTCGTCGGAGTATTTTCATCTCTGTTGTTTCTAGTAGTCGTTTCGTTTTAGCTGTATCAGGTCTTGTCTCCGCCGTGTATGTTAATATATGTCTAATTGCTGCTCTATAGATTCTTGTTTTTTTGTCGTGTCTTAGTTGTTTGTTCTTCCAGATTGTGTCTTTAATAGATCCCACCCGTTTACGTGCCTTTAACCTTTGTTATCGTACTTTTTCTTCAATATCTCCTAAACTAGTTATATCTATTCTTTGTTCCCCATTCTGTAGCCATGACCTTTACGTACTGCTTGAATTATTTCGTCCATTATTATATTAAAGAGAAGTGGGCTTAACAAGTCAATCTGCCTGACTCCGCTTTGTACTGGTATAAACTGTGTTAGTTTTCCATTTATCTTTGCCTGTATTCAATTATGAAAGTAGATATTTTCGATGGTTTGTATAATATTGATTGGTATGTTTCTTTTATGCACTAGGTGTAAGACGTCTTCGACTTGAATGCAATCTAAAGCCTTTGTCAGGTCTATAAAACATAGATATTTTGGTTTATTATATTTGATGACCTTTCCTGTGATTTATCTTAATAATAATAATAATAGCGTTTATTGCCCAACATAATCCATTTGTAGGACAAAATATATAACCAAAGTTAAATGAAATATTAACAATTCATAGATACTAACTACATAACACATTTTTCGATTATTTTACCTTAACATAAAGAAACGACTCAATCATCTAGGTAGATCTCAGCCATCCTAGTAAGCTGCTTTAAACTGCAGTGAAATATATCGCAGTAAGCACTTAAGGAATTATAATAGTTGCACATGAGAAATAGAGGAGAATTTAACATAAGATTAGTTCTAGCTTGTGTATTTCTAAACGTAATTGAATTTCTCACTGGATAAGATGGAACGTTAAAATTTATTTGTCGAAGAATATCAGGGCAGTCAATGAGATTTTGTAGTAGCTTGTACAGAAATATTAGGGTGCATTAATTCGTCTAGATTCTAATGATACTACGCCAAACCGCTACACAACTCACTATTGCTAATGCCCCTCTTGGAATATATGCCGTTAATTTTGAAAGACAAAATTTTTTAAAATTTACGCTGCACCTGCTCTATAATTTGTATATATACATCATAAAAAGGTGACCAAATGACAGAGGCATATTCCAGTTTACAGCGTACAAAAGTATAATAAAGTAATTTAATTGCCTTAGTATTAGTGAGATTTCGACTATTCTAATTATGAATCCATAAGATGTAAGTGCTTCTTTAACCTTTAAATTAACATGTTCAACAAAGGTGAGTTTATAATCAAATGTAACTCCAAGGTCTTTAATTTTATTCAAACGTTCAAGTTCATTTTTTAAGTTCCACATTTTTCACCGGTAAAAACAATTAAATATCTGGGAATCTGGTTGTCGGAAGGTTTAAGTTTCGGAATACACATCCAAAACAGTAGAAAAGACAAACCGAAATTTGGAAGCGTTGATACGGTTGATGCCAAACATTGGAGGCCCAGGAAGCACGAAAAGAAAGGTGCTAAAAGGAGTTTTCCAGTCGGTAGTAAACTACGCTGCCCCTGTGTGGTGTAGTGTACTAAACACTGCGAAATACGCTAAGCTGATTGAGACTTCGCAAAGGCGAATGCTCCTCAGGGTGTCTAGTGTATATAGGACAGTCTCTAATGAGGCTCTATATGTCATTGGAGTGGTGACACCGATCGTTTTGTTGTGTAAAGAGCGAGCGAGGATGTATGCAAGGATGATGGATGTAAATATACTTACACGAGAATGTAAGAGAAAGAACGATAGTAGAGTGGCAGAGAAAATGGGAAAATTATAGTGGAAAGGCAAGATGAGCTTATTCCCGATCTGAGATCGTGTTGGGAATGTAAGTTCAGGAAAGTAGACTACTTCCTGACGCAGTTTCTGACCGGACATGGTAGTTTTGGCACCTTCACAAATAGAATAGGCAAATCTGTCTCGGCAGACTGTACTGTTTGTACGGTACCGTATGCTCCCGCCGACATTTTTAACTGCCAGAGACGGGCAAATGAGATGGGAGATTTCGAGAGGCGAATGGGTCTCGTAATGGATGAAAGAAATATTGTAAACATTATGTTGAGAGGAGAGAAATAATGGAGAGAAGTACACTGTCTGATTTCTGGGGTAATGAAGAAAAAGGAACAGGAGGACAGAAAAGGAAATTAAGCCAGGGATCTAAAAACTTATAGTAAATATTGTTTATTAGTTTATGGTTTAACATCTAAACATTTTCTGATTTACGGTAATAGGTATGGTTATAAATAATTTTTTAGTTGTTTATTGAGTGGCAAGACCACCTCTCTGGAACGGTGGTTAAGGTTTTAGCCGGAACCTCGGTCAATGCGGCACTACCCTGGTGTCTTCTGGCTTAGTATCCCACTCGGCCGAAAGATACCAGGGTGTCTTGTTCCGTGACGTAAAGGTCCAAAAAAGATTTCCCCCACCATTGCCTGTCAGAATCCAATAGATACCTCCTTAGGCTCTTACTGGAATCTGGCAATACGGCAATTAAAGTAAAAGAAGTTCATTGCCATCGATAATATAAGGATGGTATATATTAGAATGTTTCCTAGAATAACTAACTACTTTGCACTTATTACCATTAAGATTATTAAATAATCATCGGCATAATAACATAAACATGGTGCAGAAATTGATTCACACAGATCGTTAATAAATAACAAGAAAAATAATGGACCTAGATTAAAACCTTGTGGAACCCTTGAACACTTTTTGGATTTGTAACCATTATAAGCAACAAACTGCGTTCTATTTGACAAGTAAGACCTCATAAAAGTCACGGCATCCTCAGAAAGACCAAAGAGACACAATTTAGAAAGAAATGCGCCGTCTTAGTACAAATGCAGCGTCTACACAGGATTTTTCGGATCTGAATCCTCGTTGTTTATCTTATAAAGTTGTTAGTTTATTGATTTTGTTGGTTAGGACTTTTGAGGTAAGAGTAAGTGCGGTGTTGAGTAGATTTATACCTCTATAATTGTTGGGGTTTTCTTTACCTCCTTTCTTGAACGTTGGTCTCATTACGCTGTTTCTCCATGTGTCTGGTATCTTGCAGTGCAATATTAGTTTTTGTATAAGTTTTGTCATCTCTAGGATTATACTTTCTCCTCCGTGTTTTAGAAGCTCGTTGGTTATTTCGTCTGGTCCTGGTGTCTTTCTATTTTTGAGTAAGTTTATGGCTATTTCTGTTTCCTGAAAACTGATTTTTATATCGTGTCTTAATTCAGGTACGCTATTGTGTTGATTATTATTTTCCTTTCCTTTAAGCAGTTCCGTCAGGTATCTTTCCCATTCGTTTGCTGGTATGTTATTGTATTCCTTCAATTTTTCCATTTGTTTCCGTTGGTTTCTTATAAATCTCCATATTTGTTTTTGTGTACGGTAGAAGTCGCTGTCCATCCTTTTTGTAAACTGTTTCCAGTGTTCATTTTTTGTTCTTCTTACCAACTGCTTTGTTTTATTTCGTACTCTTTTATAGGTGTCTCGGAATTCTGGAGTATTTGATGTTTTGTACTTCTCTGTAGGCCTCTCGAATGCTGCGGAGTTATGTCTTTTCTACCCTGTTATATGGAGTTAAGGCTTGGTCACTAAAACAGTTGACCATAAAAAACATCGAAGCTTTCGAGATGTGGTGCTATAGGCGCATTCTCAGAATCTCATGGATGGACCGTGTCACTAACACGCAAGTACTCCAAACTTTAGACAAAAGATGCGAAATTCTAAATGAGATAAAAACTAGAAAGATGGAATACTTGGGGCACATTGTGAGAGGTGAAAACTACGAACTTTTAAGAAACATCATGCAGGGCAAAATTAAGGGCAAAAGAAGTGTGGGAAGAAGAAAAATATCGTGGTTTCGTAATCTACGTGAATGGTTCGGGTGTAGTTCGATTGAACTTTTTAGGCGCGCTGCTAACAAAGTCGCAGTGGCCATGATGATTTCCAATCTCCGCTAGGAGTGACACGAGAAGAAGAAGAAAAAGTAGGCCTCTCGTTTCTTATTACATTTTTTTTATTCTTTTTTTTTTAAACCATGGTGTATTGTTGAAGATTCTTTTGTTTAGTACGACTTTGCGTTTTCCTAGAGCTTCTGTTGCTGCTTCTTCAATGTTGTTTTTAATTTTTTCCCAGCTTGCGTTGATATCTTCGATGTCAACTTTTTGTTTCAACTATATCTTCTGTCCTAACCTCCTTTGGTACATTTCTTTCGTAGAATCGTTCCACAGGGATCCTATATTAAATTCTGGCTCGGCGATTTCCTGTAGAAAATGTTTTAGTGTTATTTTAACTCTTACCTTTGCTATATTAGGTACTAGTTTGTGTTCACTCCATGTGTCTGCTTAGTTTAAAGTTCGGATATCTAGAA